ATTCGTCACAAGTCTTCGTTTCTTCGAAGAACTGTTGCAGCACCTACATTGCTTCGCCGTTTGTTTTGGATGGCCATGGACCTAGTATTTTATTCAACCCAAATGGTCACTCAGGATCTAACCTATGCAGTTCTTGTTCTAGTCGCCTTCGGTGTGTGTCGTGTTTCGGACAGTCGAGCAAGAGGTGACAGATATCCTCGTCGTAGTGGCCGCATGAACATGCTGACGATGTTGCACGATGAATACGAAGTAGAAAGTGCTTTGTGTAAGCAGTTCCGAGTCGTAGGCGATGAATGAGTGTGTCGATACGTCTTGGGAGGTCACGGTCTTATTGGTATTCAAGATTAGAATCAGCAGAATATAGGATCGATTCCTTTGTTTTGTCTGTGAACCAGGTAGACAGGCATAATTCACGTTTTTTTTTGTTCTTAAAATTCTATTGACATCATATTGAGATACCAGAATGAAGCACATTTGCATAGAATTATGAGCAGTTTTCGCCAACTCATCCGCCATTTCATTTCCCTTAATTCCGCAGTGACTGGGAAACCACTGAAATGCTACTCGATGATTCGACTCTTTTAGTGTAGCGTATACTATACGCACATCAATGTGTCTTGAAGTGGCACTTTCCACACATGCCAGTGCTGCCAGAGAGTCTGTAATTACCACCCATTTTCTTGGTGTCGTTGACAGTTTAATTGCCTACTCTGCGCCAGTTCTCCACAACATCTCTTATACGTCGCTACACCAACTTCAGCTGTTACAAGTAAATGCACATTATTTAATTTATTGTTATATAAATATACAAAGCACACCTATTTCATTTGCAGAACCCTCTGAAGAAAATAGCATGTTGTGATCGTAAATCTGTGATGACTCATTGGGATGTTGTCACCCTCTGAACACATTGCTTGTATTGCGTCTTTGGCAATAAAACGCCAATGATAACCCCATTTCATTCATAGACAGTGCCAAGTTTACTGTCTACTTCCCAGGTCAGTGGGCTTGGGTTGAAGGCTGCTGTTGTGAACGCGTGTTGCCACTTTCATGACATCGTCGAAAAGCTTACAGTGTTACAAAATTGAAAAAATAAAGTAATTCTCGAGTTCAAAAAACAATACCTCCCTGTCTCTTCACATATCTTTAGCTAATATATACAACTTTATGTATACATTTAGTTCACTAAGTGACCAGCAAAGTTGGTTTTCAATGAACACTGAGCTTTTTTCTAAAAAAAAAAAGCGAAATTCGAATTTCTTTTTCAGACGATATATCTTGAGCACTTTAATCGTTTTTACTTTATAGCATGTTGAACAGGCTGCTATGACATTTTATTTGTGCCATTTTATTTTGACATACTTCCACAGTGAATATCGAATTTCACAAATTTATTTAATTTGGCTTGTGCTAAATTCACTTGATGAGTTTATATACATAAATAAGTAATTTATTTATATTTACATTACATCATTATCTTGCCGTAAACACCATTTTATATAGTGCATTTCATAGACGTCCTTTGCATGAAAATTGTTGTTTGATACTCTCTAGCTGAGTCGGCGAAAAGCTGCAAACTAGCACAAACAGGCAGAAAAAGTTTCGTCTACAGAAATTAGCAATCAGAGCAAGTTTTAATCACAAAGAAAAATGTGGTGATTTTTAAGCCAGATTTCGCAAAAAGCTGTTGAAGGGTGAGAATTAATTTAGTGGAGAGTTGGAGATGTTTGTCTGGCTTTTTGCCTGACATGCTACTCCGGATACTGGGTGATAACTATGATATATACAGTGATCAACAGATAACACATACACTCACACACGTGCACTAGACTATTTACAATGTTTCATTGAGATTTGGGGCCCTAAAGAATGTCAGTAGCACTTTTGTGGCATGTAACGCACTGGAGCTACATTGCCATGGGCCTAAAATGTCTGGTGAAGTTGCATAGAATGACTCTCCTTAAAAAGTTTAAGTGATTGTTGCCTATATATATAACAAATTCTGGCATTTTAGATTATATTTATTATACATTTATCTCGTGTTTGTTTGATGCTATGGAGATTTTGCTGTAATTTTAAACAATCAAAAAACATTCCCGTAGAGTTATTCGAACAAAAGACCAAATTGAATGATACTGCACAATATTACTTGCACTTTTCAAATACTTTCACACCATTAATTCTTACACGTCAACTCTACCATCCTGTGTCCAAACTTTTATTTCATAACTTCATCAGTGTGCTGTTAGTATTTACTTTAGAGCTTTGCCTCTAAATTTAGGTTTACAGACTTTAACAAAGTAGTACAACCTTTTCAAGACAATGTATTGGAGGGCTCCAGATAATTTGAACCCCATTGGGTTCTTTATTGTACCCTAGTATTCCACCTGACGTGGTTCTCTAGGATTTCACTTCTACAGAAATGCAACAGTGGTGCCTGGATCAATCAAAGCTGCATCTATTGGGCAAGTAGGCGAGTACTGTATGAGCCACTGAAACGGCGCCACCTCTAAAAATATAAGCGCATACATCTGCACCAGCCTATACATGCAAGCTCTTCTCTTGAATAAAAAATGATTATTTTTGTGGCTAAAGTATTTTCTTCCTATTTTTTTCTTGAGGCTTAAAAATGGCATAAAATATTCACAAACTTTATGGACAATGACTAAGCAGCCCAAAAATTGATAGAGGGGTTTTATTTCAAAGGCAAGGGGACTTTGGTGCATTAAATTATCACTCACTGATTCTAGTGCAAGAAACGCCTCAAGGTCCTTACTTGTAGGGATATATTACACAAGGAGGAGGGAAAAAACAGATAAGCTGTAGCATCAATAAAAAGCAGAACAATACTCATCAAACAAATACCTAAAAAAGTGTGACATAACCAACAAAATATACAAAAAATGCAATTCTGTGAATAGAAAGGCTCTAGTGAGACTGACTACAAATGGGTAATATTATTATAGGTTTATTAAATTTAGGTGTAATCATTTCAGTGGCAATATAAGGAGGCAGCAAGTTCAACTCGATAAAGGTTTTCGTGATGATTAATTTAGCAAAGTTGGAAGTACGGCAAGCTATGTGTTTAATTTTGAAAGGACAATGGTGATGTGGAAATATGATTGAAAAAAAGTCAAGTAATGGGTGGCTGTACATCTTATGAAAAAGAGGTAAACAAGCTAGTGTACATTGATGGTAAAGGTTATCAAGACCAGCACAAGCATTTAGGACTGACACACCAATGAAATGGTAGTACCGTAATCAGAAAAAAAACATCTGTTGCGTTTTTCTGGAGAGATCGATGTTACCAATGATGTAGGCCTAATCCAGGTGCCACATCTATGAAGTATACTCTATATTTTAGGATGAATTCAAGTAAAGTGGGTAAGTTTATGCACCTGTGCAGGAGCATGTTGTGGATCACAATTTAAGAGGCAAAGAGGTAGTGGCAGCTACAAAGCAAAATGGGTATGACGGTTCCATGTCAGGTCAAACATAGAATGAACATTTAAATAGTTGTCAGTGGAAGCTGAATCAACATTTATGTCATTAAGAATATGTGAAGTTCAGAAAACAAATGAAACTTTTTGTAAACAAGACAAGTTTAGCCTTACACTTTAGTAATGTAGCCATGATGAGCACCAAGTCATAATTGAACAGAGGTTGCTTTATAATAACTGGTAGCCAGAGTTACTTTTCATGGCTCAGTACACTACAAGTCTGGTCATCAGTGAAAAAGTCCAATTTGAGAAAAATACATTTAGGCGAATCATTAACAAATATTAGAAAAGAACAGGAGACCAAGGAAACTTCCCTGCAGTGTGCCAGATGTTACTTGAGCCGTCGAAGAGTTAGAGCTTGTTACATGTGTAGATTAACGGATGGCCAGGCGGTAGTGACTACAGTTAACAGCAGGCCATCAGGCCCGCGAAGAACATGAGAACATGTTGAGCCCATTGCCCTGAACGAACTGTCTTTATTGTTTCCAAAACAGCAACCCCTCCGCTGTGCCAGGCTTGCACAGCTCAACACAACTATCAGCGTCGCGTGGGGGCGCTGTATTTGTGCCAACCTTGTAACACTTCTCCCCTCTTAGAGGAAGACTACGGGGAGTACCTATTCACCGGTTTTCTAGTCCTCGTGCCACGTCGCCACTTCAGCGTGCTAGGCGGAAGCACGACAGAGTCACTGTTCACATGCACACCACTGTTGAGCGCAGTCCTGTCGCTCTTCGTGGCACAGCTACTCGGAGAGAAGCTAGTTCCAGGTAGCTGTTCCTGATGAGGCACTTGCGGAACGGCTGGTGCATGGAGAAGCGGCGGCTCCAACTGTGGTGGAGCTGCAGCGATAGCAGTTTCAGGAGAGGCCAATGGTCCTCTCTGCACCAGGCGCAAGTGGTCGCTGTGTCGGTTTCCCAAGGTGCCATCTTCAAAACGGACACTAGCTGATGACGGAGTAACGCCCACAACACTGGAGGGCACCCAGGGTGTACCCCTGCGAAAGTTTCGCGCGTACACGTCATCACCTGCCAGCAGTGATGGAGCCTGCCGGGACCCTCTGTCAGCATACAACTTCTGCTTGAGTTGTTTTAGGAATACAGATGCCTGCAGGCTTGGCCTGAGGAAATCCAACGGAGTCTTGAACATTCTTCCTGTCAAGAGTTCACACGATGGTTGACCTGTTACTTCACGTGGTGTGGTCCTATAGTGGAAAAGAAACCTGGAGATCTGCGTTTCGAGGTTCCCAGAACCAGACTTCTTGAGTTTGTTCTTCACAGTTGGTACAACTAGTTCAGCTGCAGCATTTGAGGCAGGGTGATACGGCGGTACAAGCATGCGGCATATTCCATTTCGAATTAAGAACTCAAGGTACTGGGCACTGGTGAAGGTAGGACCATTGTCGGAATCTAGGACATCAGGCAGTCCATGCTGAGCAAATGCAGTTCTCAATGCAGAAATGGTAGTTTCTGCAGATGTGTAAGACACAGGAAAGACTTCTATTCACTTTGAGAGTGCATCCACAATAACCAAGAATGTGTGACCTAGGAATGGTCTTCCAAAATCAATGTGAAGCCTTGACCAGGGTCGCTGTGGAAAAGGCCACGGCGTCTGCTGAACCGGCTGTGCAGATCGATGTTGAGTCTGGCACGTAGCGCAGCTCTTCACGCTGTTGGCAATGTCATTGTCAATGCCTCGCCACCAAACATGGCTCCTGGCAATCATCTTGCTCTTCTCGATACCCGGGTGGCTGGCATGACGAACACCAAGAACTTGGGCCTGCAATGACTTTGGGATCACTACTCTTGTTCCCCAGAGTAGGCAACCCTCATGGAGACTGAGTTCTGAGCTTCTGGTATTGAAAGGGTTCCACTCTGGTCCTACTGGGAGGCTTTCTCCTTTCAGAACAGCAAGAACAACATGGCCCAGAAGTAGGTCATTTCGTGTGGCTTGGGCCATAACACCTGGTGAAAGGAGTCTCGGATATGCCTCCTCTAGCAACAAGATTTCAGCAGGTCGTGGTAATGCAGTGTTGTCAGTTGGGAGAGGCAGTCTACTAAGGCCATCAGTGTGGCCGAGTTCTTTGCCAGGCTTGTATACAAGTTCATACTTGTAAGCAGGAAGCTTCAGAGCCCACCTGACCACTCGAGGTGAAGCTTGCACGGGAACGGGCTTGTTGGCACCCAGCAGTCCAAGAAGTGGCGTGTGGTCAGTGTGTGCTTCGAATGAGATGCCACATAAGTACTGGTGGAACCGATCCACACCAAACACTAAAGCCAGTGCCTCCTTGTCGAGTTGACTGTAGTTTTGTTCTGCTTTTGACAAGCTCCTCAAGGCAAAAACAATGGGATGTTTCCCACCATCAGCATCTTTGTGCGCCAGAACTGCACCTATACCATAAGGCGATGCGTCACAGCTGAGGTGAACAGGCCTGGCAGGGTTGAAATGCACAAGAACTGGAGCTGATGTCATCAAGTGCTTGCAGGCATTGAATGCATCTTGTTGTTCATGTCTCCACTCCCACTTTTTCCCTTCACAAAGGAGCAAGTGCAGTGGACGAAGGAGTGACGAAAGATTGGGTAAGAAGCGCCTGTAGAAGTTTACAATTCCCAAGAAACTCTGAAGTTCCCTAACATCCTGAGGCACAGGAGCATGCAGAATGGCTGCTACCTTGTCAACATTCGGGGAAAGGCCTTCCTTGTTGATGATGTACCCGAGATACTCAACTTGTGGTACGAAGAAATGGCATTTTTCAAGTTTCAGTTTGAGGTCAGATTCCCGAATTTTGCTAAGTACAGCACGAAGGTTGCGAAGGTGCTCAGCATCATTTGCGCCAGTCACAAGAATGTCTTCAAAATAGACTGCTACATGGGGCAGTTCTCTGAACAAGTTCTCCATCTCGCGCTGAAATATGGCAGGAGCAGATGGGACGCCAAAAGGCAACCGGTTGTACTGAAATAACCGCATATGCGTCGGAATAGTGACGTACTCCCTAGAGGCCTCGTCAAGGACAACTTGCTGGTACGCATCTCGCAAATCCAATTTTGTAAATTTCTCACCTCCAGCAAGCACAGTCCGTAGGTCCTCGACCCTTGGAATGGGGTACTGCTCCACTGTTGCTACTGGGTTTATGGTGACACCGAAGTCTCCATAGGTTTCGATGCGTCCCTTCCTTTTGGTCACAGGAACAATATGTGCAGCCAACTTTGCTGTCTTGACTGGAACATGAATGGAATCTCTTCTTAGTCTATGGATTTCTTGAGTTACTCCGTATGTCAAGGCATACGACAGTGGACGTGGCTTGAAGAACTGAGGCGGAGCATATGAGGGAACATGTAGAGAAGCTTTAGCACCCTTGAATGTACTCAGGCTTTCTTCAAACACTTCAGCATAGTCTTGGACTAGGTGTTTGATGTCGGAAAGTGCGTGGATGTTCACTTCAATGTCGGAGACGCCGATGCTCAGCTCACGCATCCAGTTGTGTCGAAGAAGAGCTAGTGGGCGATCTGTCTCCAGTCAGAACAATAGGTAGGTCGGCCTCCCTGCCATGAAACTTCACACTGACGTCAGCTTTTCCCTGAACCTTTTTTAGTTCCCCAGAATAGCTTCGCAGAAGCACGTGTGACGGCTGCACAGGCACTGAAAGCAAAAGTTGAAGAAGACGCGACTTAGCCATGACAGAGACACTTGCCCCCGTGTCAACTTCCATGCGGAGCGGCTTGCCGCAAACGTCAACAGTGACTGTGAAAGGCGGAGGCAGCGTGGCGTAGTCGACCAGCCACTTACAAAAACTTCGTAAGATGAAGTGGTAGCGGCGTCCTGCTTGTGTACAGTATTAACACGCTGACGGTTACTCGACGACGGTGAACTGCAAGCCGAGACCGAACGTGCCTTGGTAGGGCTGTTGCTTTGGGCTTGGCTGTTTCTTCGTCTCGAATCGCACACCTTCGCCAAATGACCTTTTTTGTGGCAGTAATTGCAGATTGTCTTCACATGCTTGCATTTTGATGCAAGATGTCCGTCCCCGCAGCGGTAGCAGGTGACGCCCCCAGAACCTGACGAGACACGGTGAATCAAGAAAGCGCTGCTTGTGTTCGCTTGTCCTATCTCACCTGCGTCCCTTTTTGCTGCTTCCATTTCCAGGGCAGTCTGCGCGGCAGCGTCGAAGGTGAGGTCCTGTTTTTCCAGAAGTCTTGTCTTGACATTCATGTTGTTTATGCCACACACGACGCGGTCGCAGAGCATGTTTTCAAGTTCAGCCCCGAAGTTGCAGTGCTCGGATAGGCTTTTTAGTGCTGCGATAAAATTGGTGACGGCTTTCTCTTCCACGCGAACGTGCAATTTGAAACGAAAACGCTGCACGACGTCAGAGGGCTTCGGACAATGGCAAGCCTTGGGACGTTTAGTCGTCACATGTACACGAGTCCGAACGATATGTCTTGTGCTTGACACAGCTAGTGAAGCGTAGCGTCCCCGTCGTGGCACGCGGTCAACGCGGCACGATCGGCTGTGAAAGATAAATGGGAGGGGGGGGGGGCAGTGGCAGCGCACCAGCTGCTGAGACTCTGTTCAATTTTCCCCATCGTCCCTAATACTGAGACGCGATCTCCTGATTCCACAGCTGCGCACACAGCAAGAGAACGCGCGGTTCATTGCGTTAATTACGTCGCACACACACTCGCTTGTCCGCGAGTGTGTGTGCGACGTAATTAACGCAAGTTCATTGCACTTGCGAAATGCACGACGGACGACGTGTCGTTGATTCCCTAACTCTGAGACACGATCTCTTAATTGCACAGCAGCGCACACAGCAAGAGAATGCGCCCCAACGTCTGCTAGGCGCGGTTCATTCTGTTAATTAAAACGGCCAGCATCGCTCATGCACTCGCAAAATGCACCGCGGACGACACCAAACTCTCGCAAGGAAGCCACAACTACAGGGGCAAATCTTTCTACCAAGTTTGGTAGCAGTCTGGCAACACTGACCCTCTCAGTCTGGCAACAACTTATGCCACGCTTGAGTGTACTAGAAGTGTTGAGTGGCGAGACCAGGCCTCGCCGCCTGATCCCTTCCGTGTTGCCCGTAGCGGCAGCGCTGCAGTCGAATAGTACTGAAAGAGCCGCGCGCCGCGCGCCGCATGCAGGTACTGCTATGCGTTTCGGCTGCTCCATCGCGCTTTCTTAATTCAGATTTCTTCGTATCTGCCCGTGATTCATGCCGAGTACATATGCCATAGTCCTTGAAGTATGACAGGCCAATCTACTGAACTTGAGCTCCATAAGAGCCTTTGTATAGAGATCGAAAATAATTCAGAAAAAGGGTGTCTTATGATGATTTCTTCTGTCTTAACTCTTTCTTCATTGGTTAGGCATCTACAATATACAGAATAACTGAGCCGATATATTGGAAGTTAGCTGCGCTCAGAAAGCTGTGAGATAAAAAAAATACCGTTTCAAACGCGCGCAGAACCAGGAGGCAGTTAGTAGAGAGAGGAGGGAGGGAGCCTGAACCCCCTACACCAAGAAATTTTTTGGTAATTTAACTTTTTAGGGTATAAAATATTTACACGCATTCATAGCGACCACCAATTGCAAAAGTTAGTGATTCCGCTGCACCCCCTCCCCGCTCATCAAAAAAACAATTCTGGGTGCTAGCTTTGCGCCGAAAGGTTTACAGTTGGTGAAGCTGAATATAGCGTGTCTCTGTACGAATGCGCACTGTAAATTTTACATTTACGACAATATGACGTCCTAAAACTAGTTCTAAGTCTAACGTAGTCGGACGAGAAATGCACCGCCTAAAAATAGCAGCTGTGCTAAAGGGCATTCCATGGATATTGTTAATAGGGCGGTGACGTGTGACCTAAAATGCGTGTACTTGTGGATATACATACATACATACACACACATGTATATATATAAAATAATAATGAGATCCTAATGATATATATATATATATATATATATATATACTGTGAGCAATATTCATGCGCGTCATTTTATCATATGTACATACTCATCATCATCAGCCTGACCCGTGTTGTGGGGCAGAGGCTCGACAAGTAAAAGAAGTGTCTTGCAGCCAAAATGTTGCCTTACAAGTGGTGGAGAGTGCTTTTCGGTCCCCTGGTCCTCTCTCTGCAGCGCTTTTTTTATCTTCGACTACCAGCCATCCCTGGAACTCCGGTCGGGTCGCCGTCTCCGCAGTCAGCCCACGGTCATGTCGCAAGACGAGCTCAACAACACGGCTCCATCCACCGCGCCTGCACCCCTGGGCATGCCTTCTTGGACTGTCACCGCCCCTCAAAAAGATCCACCGATGTTGGCCGGCCTTCGCGGTGAAGACGTTGAAGACTGGTTGGATGAGTACGACCGTGTGAGTGCGCCTAACTATTGGCGTGATTCTGTGAAGCTGTCCCGCGTACCGTTCTATCTGACGGGGGTCGCTAAGACATGGTTTCTCAACCATCAACTGGATTTCCCGGACTGGCCTACCTTTAAGCAGCAGCTCCGTCAGATATTTGCCAACCCTTCTGTCCATGCAGACATAGCCAAACGGAAGCTTGCTGAACGTGTTCAGCACTCCGGCGAGTCTTATACCTCGTACATTGAGGATGTCCTCGCCCTATGCCGTCGCATTGACAGCTCGATGTCGGAACATGACCGCGTTCGCCACCTGCTCAAGGGAATAGGCGCCATCGCATTTAACGCTTTAGCGGCAAAGAACCCCACCGCGGTCGCGGATATCATCAGTACGTGTCAGCGACTCGATGACCTTCAACTTATACGTTTACAACCTGACACAGGAGATCTCAGGCCAACGCATGACAATGAGCTCCGGTCGTTAATACGGTCCATGATCCGCGAGGAGCTGCAACTCCAGGACACCTCGTCGTCTTATGAGCTCCGCATAACGCCTTCTGCAGGTGTCACAGAACGAGCGCTAAAAAAAAGAGCGCGCCGCCAAATCCTTGCGACAACGGGCGGCAGAAACGCCGCGAGGTAAAAAGAAAAAAAAAAGAAAGCAAACATCCAGGGCTCCCGGGCGCGCGCTCTCCCCGCAGAAGCACGGCTTCGCAGACGATCCTCCTCACCCCACATCGGCGGCCCAGCAAGACCGCGATTTTTCTAGAACGAAGGAGGCGGGGTCAGACCGAGTGAATCATCCTCGGGAGAGGGCAGTCGAACCGTCTCGTGCCTCTCCTCAGCCTTCGCTGCGTATCGCGCCGACGAAATGACGAGAAACATCTGGAAAGTCGCGCGCAAGGTATTTAACCGAGCAGCCGAGACGAGAAATCAGGAGGAGACGGAAGTTAACGCCAGAGCGCGTAGGGATTCCGCCGTGGAGTCGGCGAAGGTTCTGCCCGTAGTGACAGGACAGGAGGAGACGGAAGTGAGCGCCAGAGTGTGTAGAGAGTCCGCCGTGTAGTCGGCGAAGTTTGTGGTCCGTAGGGACGGCTCGAGCTACAGGCAAGAGTGTGTGTTTACCGCTATCGAGCGAAGACCCGTGGCAACCGCTGCGAGTGTGAAGCCGACGTGTTCCGGCGAAGAAGTTGAAGTTTGAAGAGTGGCCAATTGAAGACGGGAGGTTTCCTGGGAGAGAACTTCGAGAGCTGCGGAACGACAACAACGCTGGACTTTGAGTGAGTGATTCTCGGAAGAGTATCATTCAGACTTTTGTCCCAAGGACTTTGGACTGAATAGGTTTTATATCTCTTTAGTCTTTAAGTGTCTTGGTTGTTCAATGCATGCGACTGCATTGTAGTGCGTATTGTTGTCTGTGTCCGTTGTTTCAAGTGTGGTTGATTGTACTGTGTAGTACATTGTCTGTTTGGTGACGTATTGTATGTAACTATTGTGGAGTGTGCATACGTGTGTATTGTTTTTGATCTGCCGTTAATGAGAATATAATTTTGTTTGTTTATCAACTCTCGGCTCTGTCTTGTTCTTTGGGCCACAGCCGGCGTCCGCTGGCGCACCAATAAGGACCACTTCTAAATTGTCCACGCTTTCGTGGTGCGGTTCGGGGGGCCGATACTTCGGCTCTTGGAATTAGCCCGGCGATCGCCTCCCTAATAAACGGGACAGGTGTGACAATTAATCTGGCGTCCGCGATACAGGACCTTTTGGTGCACAGTGTGTCCAAAGTAGTGAGAAAGAGCCTCGAGTTGTTGATAGTGCTATCGGAACGATTTTGTGTGTTGTTTAGTGTTCTCGTTAACGAGTGCAGGAGAGTGTTCCGATAGACTGATTTAGGCAGATACTTTTTGCACGCGGCAAGGTTTTATTTGCGAGTTACGAGACACAATGGATCTCGAAAAGTTAGTTGCTCTTGGTGAGAAGATGGGTCTTTCTGGCGCCGAACTACGGAAGTGGGTAAGCCAGAAGGAGAAGGAGGCGGTGAAGAGAGAAAGGCTGGCCGCTGAAAGGGCGAGAGAAGAAAGAGAAGCAAAGGAGCGACAGCTGAAAGAAGA